GAGGACTTCGAAATTTGGACGGACCACTCCAATCTCCAGTACTTCCGCAAGCCTCAGAAACTCAATCGACGACAAGCTCGGTGGGTTACAGAGCTGGCGGAATACCAATTCTCTTTGCACCACAAGCCTGGGGCTCAGAACCGAAAGGCAGACCTTCTATCTAGAAGGGCTGACCATGATCAGGGTAAAGGAGACAATCGGGACGTGGTAGTACTTAAAGCGGAGCATTTCAGGGCCCTTATCATGCCCACGGCCGAAGAATTGCACGAACGAATCAAGGTGGCGACTCACGACACTCGTCGTTGGGACAGAGGGATCGCTGACTCACTCAACCATGAGAAAGGCATTTCCCGGGACCAAGACCTCTTGTGGTATGATGGACGGATCTATGTACCAATAGACCGTGACCTACGAGGACAACTTATAGCCCTCAAACATGACCATGCCACGGCCGGACACCCAGGGATCGAAAAGACCAAGGAGTTAGTGCTCCGGGACTATTGGTGGCCAAGAATGCGACGCGACGTGGAAGCCTACGTGAAGGGGTGCGACGTCTGCCAACGAACGAAGGCGGACCGTCGTCCAAGGAAAGCCCCGTTGCACCCTAACGAGGTCCCGGTACGTCCCTGGACACACATCTCGGTGGACATGATCACCAAGCTACCAAACTCAAAAGGCTACGACTCTATTCTAGTCATCGTCGATCGCTTTTCAAAGACGATTATCCCCATCGCGTGCACTGAAGAGCTCACTTCCCTCGGGTTCGCTAAAATCCTGAGGGACTATGTCTACGTACCTTACGGGGTAATGCCGGAAAAGGTTATCTCGGATCGAGGTTCTGTCTTTGTCTCAAAGTTCATGAAGGAGTTTTATACCCTTATTCACGTCAAAGGAAACCCTTCCACCGCATACCACCCACAAACGGACGGACAGACGGAGCGGGTAAACCAGGAAATTGAAAAATACCTTAAAATGTTCGTCAACGATCGACAAGAGGACTGGAGTGAATGGCTGCCCCTAGCAGCCTTCACTCACAATAATCGTCAACATTCGTCCACCGGATACTCCCCGTACAGAGTCGTGTTTGGAAGAGATGGGCAGGTCATTACTACTTCGCAAAAACCGACGGTAGTTCCAGCAGCGACAAAACTCGTAGCAGAGATCGAGAAGGCGCAAAGAGAGACGAAGGCCTCTCTAGAAAAAGCGGCCGAATCGATGAAAAAGGCGTACGACAAACACAAGGATCGGGCGATTGAATATCAACTGGGGGACAAGGTGTGGCTAGACGCAACCAACCTACATCTCCCTCGCCCCACCAAGAAACTTGGAGACCGTCGTGTCGGGCCCTTTGTCATCCTCGCCAAAAAGGGGGCCTCAGCTTATGAACTCAAACTACCCGTCCGATGGAAAATTCATAACCGATTCAACGAATCCCTGCTAACGCCTTACGTCGCTCCCATATTTCCTCATCAACCACATCCCGAACGACCACCTCCAGAGCTAGTTGACGACGAAGAAGAATACGAGATAGAAGAAATCGTGGAACAGCGAGACAAGGTTATTGGTCGCGGACGGACCCGCCGCGCAATAACAGAGTACTTGGTGAAATGGAAGGGTTACCCGAGGGAAGAGAACTCCTGGGTCAAACGCTCAGACATGGCCAACGCGGAGGAGCTAGTAAACGAGTACGAGGCACGCCTCCAAAGGATTCATTGGGAGGTTAACAAATACGGACGAACCATTGGGAGGGACGACAAAATCCCACCGGGTAGTGGAGCACCTTACCACGACCCAGATACCCCATGTGTGACAGACATTGAAACTGTCGCCTCCTCCGAGTGCACGAACCCGAGACACTCCGCTCCGCAATCATCGATCGCCATGCGAGAAGTTACCGCAGAAGAAGCGGACGGGATCCCTATCGTGGAAGAAACCCCAGACGATGAAGATTCCGAACTCGATCTTAGAAATCTACAGAAGATCTATGAAAATTGGGAGTTCGACTCAGGAGATGATGAAAACGACGATGACGATGACCTCTCGTTCTACTCCGAATCCAAGAATTCTACCTCGGAGGAGAGCAACGAAAACTCTACGGCATCATTCGGAACGGATGACCTTTAGAGACCAACATACGGTGTAGAAGGGGATTTCCACCGCTCAGTTACGAGCATTGAACCCTTAGGGATCGCGAATCCCGACAGACAGTTGAGGCCTAACCGGCGCAAGGTGGCTCAGGAAGGCTAGGAACCTGAGTCCAGGGGGAGAGAGGGTCTGAGGCCGAACCCACCGTTGTGACTCTTTATGGGGTAGCGGAGGTCCAATCAATCCTGTTTTAAAGCAGAAGGGAGCCCCTCAACTCGCTTGTGTGGAAGGAAGGAGATATATTCTCATTCGGGACGAATGAGTCTTAAGGAGGGGGTAATGTTACGATTATTCTTTTCTTTTTCTTTTTCTTTCCTTTTCTTTTCTTTTCCTTTCTTTAGTCAGCCGGATTACGCGGTGCGCGATCATCACGGACTAACTGCGCAGTAGTATTTTTAGAATACTTACGTGTATTTAAGTAGAGCCTCAGCTGGTCTGAACCCCAGCTTCGGCTAAGGTTTAATCTACCTAACTTGAACTCCGTTCTTCGTGTCTATCTGCCCCATTGACTTGTGTCGCCTTTGACTTGCTGAGTGTCGTCTGCCGAAGTGCGAGTAGCGACCTTAGTACGATCTAAGTCGATTAGAGTTAGTGGCTAACATTGAGGGTTGTATGTTCTTTTGGGATGTTTGTGAGCTTGTGAAATATTACTTTTGCCTTGAGGCTGAGCGATACATATCGCTCACCTCCTGTCCTAAAAGCATTTGGACTTAGAGAATTCTTTTGAGCTAGCGTGCTATTATATCTTGAAGAGTGCAAGACATCTTTTAATTCTACTGTTATTGTGTGCTTGCATCACACATCTCCCCCAAACTACTGAGATTCTGTGTGTATGAGCATGAGAGTGGGTGTGTTTAGTGTGTCTACACTATCGCATTTCAAGCTTGGCATGCACAGAGCCTCTTCAATGGCTGTGCAATGGAACTATGCAATTTAGAAGAATAGGTGTCATGTACATACATATAAATCAAACTATGCTTCATTCAGTTTTTGAGGCATTTTTCTGTCAATGAGAAAAAAAGCCATGCAGAGGGGAAACAAATATGACAGGGTGATGAGCACCAATTAGGCAAGACAGATCAGTGCCAACAAGGGTGGGAGGGCTACAAAAAAAGGTAATAAACCCAACAAATATGCATCCAGCTGTTTCCAACACTTAGCACTGATAATGCTGGATGCTGCATTGGAAACCAATATTATGATGCAGATTTGTGATGAACCAAACTAAGTCATTGTTCCAAGGTCATGGACTGTGTATGCATAGTCAGTGAGCCAGGTGTTAGGGATAAGTGAGCATACATCCAGGACAGCTCATTGCGGCGACTTTGACACAATGTAACATGAGCTAATGTACTGTACAAGATGAGGGTGGTGCTGGAATAAATAGTGTTGTGACTGCAGCCTACTTACACATGGAATTTTGCAATCTAGCATGTTTTACACATACACAGAGATATAGTGAGCAAGCAGACTAAAATGATGCGTTAACACTAATGCTACATGGTGCAATGATGCAGAATATAACTTAGGGCATAAGAAGTGATGGGATTCTAAACAGGACTTAGTCACAGCACTGTACCTGATGGGCATGCATGATGAGAAGGCCAAACCCATACCCAGTACACTATGCTCTAACTTACAAGCATGCTCATGGGAGTTAGATGACACTTCGAAGGTTGCATTAACATTGAAAGTACTTAGCACACTCACTAACTATGACATGCTGTACCTGAAAATCTGAGGAAATCCTTATGCAAGATGACAGATATCACCGGCTCGAACTTGGACAGTGGGTCTCAGCCAAAGTCCATGAGCCCACATTCCATTGTCCAGAGTCCCATTGTTCAAAGACTCACTTGTTGCTGTGTCTATGAGAAGCCTCTGTGAATCCAAGAAAGAAGTACTGAAGGACGTATGTCAGAAGTGATAGTTCTGTATGCCTAGACCTGTCAGTCGTCAGAGAACAAGCCTGCGGGTGTCAGGAGAGCATCTCTTGGCATGCGTTTAGTGAGCTCACTATAGAAATGAGACTAAAACTGGGAAGCCTGACTCAGATGCTCAGTAAGGCAGTGGTGGCAATGTGCTATGCATGTAGGGGTCTGGGCACTGCACGATGTTTGTAATTCTAAATTCTCTGTAGTATAAGTAGGATGGTTCCAGTAGATAGAAGCCAAGTTTCAAGCCCCCGAGTTCCCATGCACATGTTGAAGATGGTACTATGACAAAGGATCAGTTTGTGACTTCAAGCTTTGCATAGAATTAGCAAGCTCACTCAGAGAAATATGAGATACCCTTTTGATAAGACTTTTGAGAACTTAGTCAGAGTGAATACGAATCAGTGATGCTGTTTCTGTTCTGTTAAGTGTGATAAGTCTGTTTAGAGAGTGAAAATAAGGAGCTTAGCCCAGTGCCTCAGGTTGAACAAGTTGTGCCATCTTACATGATGGAAATTGATGGGAAGACTTCAGTCCCATGCCTGATCAAGATCTCTGCTGACCAGTATCGCTGAAGTGACAATCGCTGTAGCTGTAGTCATGGTCATGGAGATAACACAAAAAGAAATGCAGTGTCTAACTACCACTGTGCTGTCCTCCATCTTTTTGGGAATTCCTTCTTCTCTTCATATTTGAATGCAATCATCCTTCCACTTCCACATGACACATGCCTCCTTCCCCTTGGCCAACTCTCTTCCTGGCTAATTGCCAGTTCTGCAAATTTTCATGCTACCAAGGCCATCCATGGTGCCATCACCAAAAACTATTCAGTGGCATCACTTATTACCCATATCAATCAAGCATATGGGATACCAAAGAACCAAACTGAGCTGGACATTGAGCACTATATAGAGTATAATAATGTCAAAGTTTCTAAGCCAGTCTCTGATCTACCCCCTCCTTGATGCAGCATGCAGTGTCCTGGCTGCCAGAGATGGTACCGCTTTGAAAGGTGTGCATCACACAGGGCAAGTCTGAAGTATTTGCAACAACATCAGATAAATAGTCACTGTCCAGGTGAGAATGCAAAACCTGGTAAGACAGAGGTCCTACAATATGCCCATAAGCAACCCCTCTTTCGTAAAAAGGTTGGTGTTGAAGGGATCCATCTACCTTTGACAGAGGCATACAAACCTCCTAGTGAATCAGAAGAAGTGATGGCTACTATAGTCTCAACCCTTCCAACCCATCATCAGCCAACCTCCTGTCCAGAGTATCTCAAAACCCAGCTCCCCTTTTGGTCTTATGTCCAGTGCAATGCACTTACCTCTCTATAGAGACATATAGTCAATGTGGGCATAGAAGAGCAGGATGATGAATTTATCCTGCCTCTGTCATGGGAGACTGTAGCCCAGCATGTCCATCAATATTTTATGAGCCTCCTGACCAGTTTGCCAAATGGATGTGAGCAGCTATCCTTACTAGAGCAGCTCTTAGCTTTTAGCATGTTCAACAAGGATGATGATGTCCAATCAGTAAACTACCTCACCACTTCCTGTGCCTGTATGCAATGTGGCCTCTCCTCAACTCAATTCCATGCTGCTTTCCTCAGCAGCTATAAGGCAGTCTACAACATTTCTTCCCATCATGATCTTTATAAAACAGAAATTCGACAAGAGTTAGACTTTGGAAAAAAGGGGATAGAGGAGAAGGAAAATGCACAAATTATCAACAATGAAGATGAAGAGCTCATTGATGCCACTGATGAAGAAGAGAACATTATCACACAAGCCAGTGATGAAAATGACATAGTCATCCCAGACATAGACTTGGCAGATCTTTGCAACTTTGACTTTGGCATCCATCAATCAGATATATCTGAGGAAGATTTTCATGATAGCAGTCCTAAAGATGTCTAAGAAATTGGTCCCAGCATTATATAGTATGCACACTCTTTAAATTCTTGGTTTACCGTTTTCTCACATTATATTTTTATAGGTTTCTGCAAGAAAATGTGGGATTTGTCTCACCTAAATATGAGATTGGCCTCACACAGATGAGTCATCTAAAGTATATTTGGTGCATTGCCAAACTGACAGCAGACACTGAGTGTGGCAAAACTGTCACTCTTACACGGGATCACATCACAGGAAGAGAGATAAAGCTATTGTCCCTCAAGCAAGCCATGCAGATCATCATGAACAACATGATGTTCACTGTTGACACCCTTCCATCCTTTTACAGGTATCAACACTTTGATCTTGCATGAGTGTCAGATAGCCCAAGCTGCCCCAAATCATTATTTGAACATGCAGACAATACTGACTACTTTGCAAGCTTTGCTACACACATACTGTCCACTTTATGGTGTTTGCAATCTCAGAATCCTGATGGATTACTTGACAACAAAGGGCATGTATCCATGAAAGTGTTGTGTCTTTGCCTCAAATGCCATGACACCCTCTTACATTCCATTATTCCAACCATAGTCATGACTTGTAGTATAACTCTGAGATCAATGCAGATACCAGAGCTACATTTCAAAGGAAGCAGTGGTCTCAGTCATAATATCAAAATTGTTGATGGACATGTCATCATTTTCAACCCAAAGGTAAAACAGATTGATGTCTCTGAATATCAGGCAGTGTGGGATCTCCCCCACAAGGTGGGAATGGTGTTGGTATATTATCTTGATGTCTTGTATGCCATTGAGATAGACTTTCTGGAGGATCAGAGAGGATCAGGCACCTCAGAGAGAGAGTCTTTCATATTTGTCCATCCAAATCCTATCCATGGCTGCAGTTCATCCACCTTCTGTTCAACAGAAGTGAATGCAAGTGTGAAAGCCAGTGCAATAAAGCTGGATATAGCAGTGATCCATCATGTGCAGATAGCATTTCTGAGGGCCCATGCTTCTCCATGCTTTATGCAACTTGTGGAGAATACTCAGCCAGCAGACAGTGATCAAAGCTCTTGTGCACAGAATGGGCATCCAACTAACATGACCTGGATAATCAAGCTCAGCTTGTTCTTCCATGCCTTTTGTGGACTTGGACCTTGACCAACTTTATACTCAAGCCATCTTTTATTAGGAAATATGACATCTTTGCCCATCAGATGGCACATCACTATGTTGTGACAAGTTATCTGAGATCAGCAGGAGAGAATCCAGCTTATATTTTCCAGGTCATTTTGGATAGTATCAATAGAGGTAGTGAATAGCACAGGTCAACCCACAGATGCAAACATCAACCCATACCCATACCTGCATGGGTTCTGATCTGACTTAATGGGTAAGGGTACTTTGGCAGGTCACATAGGATTTTTACAGGTAAACAGGCAGATGGGTACATAGTGAATATACAATGTATGTTGATGAGCCTCAAGGCTCTGTACACTCAGAATTTATGGATTTTAGCATTATAATAAATGCCTTGTCCACTTAGTGGACTTTCACTAAGTCAATGATTGCAGTTGTGGCAATACCCACTTTTACTGCCAAATATCCTTCCCAACTCGAATTCTGCATCAATATATGCCACTTCCTTAATGCTGCCAGGCACCTGATTGCAGATTTCACAGAATTAGAACTATCATTGATCACTCAGCACAGCCATCACTGACATCAGCATCAAGCATCACTTAATAGAATGCTGCAGCCAAAATACCTATTCCACAGCAAAAGACTTAATACTGTGACCTTTCCACCAGCTTTACTAAGGCTGTTACAATGCCAAGACAATGCTGCACACATCTACTTCAGTGTACTATCTTCAGTGTACTTTGCCGCAGCAACACAGCAGTCCAAGAGTCTGTATGTCAGTGGAATTCTTTCTGATCACCAAGTCTATACATGGTAAAACTATGTGGATGCTGTTACTTTAGAACTCTGGAAGCATGCGTTTTGTATCATTTCTTACCAATTGATGTACTAAGGACTTGTTTCAAGTATTCTAATTTTATTCCAGACTTGTAGTATAAAAGCTAGTGTAGTAGTAGTTATCAGGGACAACAAGTTACCAGACACAAAGTTATTGCAACCATTATCAACCACTGTCACCACTTGTACTCACTAAGAGATAGACAATAAAATCTAGTCACTCCAAGTTATACTCTCTGTCATGGCTTTTCTTCTAACAGTATTGATGTACACTCATATTGCGCCAATACATGGAATTTCATGTCCACAACTTGCTTTTATCTTTTATTCCACCAGCATCATTTCACTTTCACCAGCCAGAATTGTTTTATCAGCTTTCACCTTCTATGTCGCTATTGTTTTACCCCAGTTCAGTACAGAATAGTTATGTCCCCGTGTAGACCCAGATTAGGATCATTATTGCTGCCAGCAGTGTCTGTCACAGAATTTTAGTCAACAGTTTCAGTATAGGACCTTCAGTCACAGTATTTGGTATCTTGCCGTCAGCTTCAGTATAGGATCACCAGTCTCAGTATTTGTTATCTTGCTGTCAGTTTCAGAATAGGATAGTCTCTGTGTAGACTCAGGATCAGTATCAGTTTTATTTTACTGCAGTTAACCTCAGCCCAGTTTTAGTCTCTGCCTTACCCAGTATCAATTATCATTTTGCCGCCACTAGCTTCCTCTTCATATTTCCACCAGCCAGTCTCTCTTTGCTTTACCACCAGTTTTCCGACTACAGTCTTCATCTATTGCCATCCTGGTATTTGTTATCTTGCCAAATGGTATTTCTCTTTGATGGCATTTCCATTAATTCTGTCAATTCCACCCATGGCTTTTACTAGTTAATTGCCATCACTTTGTTCATGGCTTGCTGGTATTTCCAGTTATACTGAATTCTATTCCTTCTCATCTATCAAGACCCTTCCCAGCTTACAGCCAATGTTTTCTAGTACTCGATTGTTAAGGGTACTACTTCGCTGACTGAAAAGTCACAGTGTATACTTGCATTCTTGAGGAATTCATCGCATGGAGATGCACCGAAACACTCGCACAACAACAATGCCTTTATTGCCACTAAGCGCCATTTGCCATAAACTCCTCTAGAGTTTTGGTTTTTGCTGGTGCCACAGAAGTTTAAGCTCATCAATGTACTAGTAGTCAAGAGATTATAGCTGAATATTATTCCATCTATCAGATATAAGGATATCCTCATCCTTGTCACCTTCTTCCTCTAGCACCTCTGGAAGCAGTGCAACTGCTTGAATATCACTGTTTTCAATAAACTCCAAAGCACTCTAATCACCAAGACACATTAATGCTCAGGATGTCTGTGAGGAAAGTCAGTTTCGAATATGAGTTATGAGAAGACAGCCACAGCTAAATGCATGCTCAACATTGACAGATGTAGCTACAATAAATATCAGTGCTAATGTTAGATAAAGATATATATGCGATATATCAGGTATCATCAGATAATTGAGAGCCATCTTTGAGAGACATGGAAAATCTGAGCATCTGTCTCGCCACCATTGAATAATGTTGCTCATGAACTCCACATCTGTTGACAAGTATTGTGTGAGCTCATCCTGAAGCTCTTCATGCTTAGGTGGTCTGGTGCTGTCTAAATTATCAAATGTATTCTGGGAATGCTGCGAGGAATATGTTGGCATGGCATATTGGAATATGAAAATAAAACACACCTTTGCGATCCTACTCTCTCTGCTTGGTACCTCTGGTGCATTGACCTCTATCACATTGGGTGTCTTGTCCTTGTACTTGGCCTTGAACTCACTGGTGACAAGGTCTTGCGCCTTGTCAATCCAAGAGACTGGCCATCCAGCCTCGTGAAAGTATTCCAGCTTGTGTCATGGGTGCAGTATTACTAGATAATTAGACTTTAAAAGAACCTTTAAGACAAGTGACATACCTATAGCAATCTGGTAAACCTTGGACTTGTCTGTACAATCATAATACACATTCAAAGTGTTCTTCATGATAGCAAGGGCAGCACACATTGGTGGTGAAAATTTGACATTGTTAAGAGCTGCCATTGCAAGAACCTTATCAATATGGTCCATGGCAGAAATTACGGTTGCAAGATTGGGTGTTGAGCATGAAAAATAAAGGGTCACATCCTTCAGAACCTGAGATGATGGGCATCAGGGAAAGAAAAAGAATTCCTTAGTCAGCAGTAACAGTTACCTGTAACACGTCATGCAGATCCTTGATGACAGCCCACTCATCCTTTGACAGTTCATACTCACATAGACCATTGTCCTGCTCTCCTGTCATCTTCTTTACTGCCAATTTGTACTCCAAAAATATGGTAATCATATCAAAGGTTGAATTCCATTGAGTCAAGATGTCCCATGGCAAGATCTTCTGTTTGAGTCAATTTTTCTCAAGAATCTTGAGGCAAGAAAATGATGCTTGAATGAATAATCTTGAAGGAGAGTTTGCAAAGCTGGTATTTCAATGTCAGACAAGATGCATATATTCAGAACTAATCAACTCATGCCTTTGCTAATGCCAGCTGGATAGGCTTGATATCTCTCTGCCATGTCTGACAATCCTCCTCACTCAACATTGCTGTCATGTCAACCAGTCCTTCCACATCATCTTTTCCCATGTTGCCATTGACCTCAATATCTTTTAAACAAGCCTCCATCTCATCCATCTTGAGATTATCAGCAAGCTCATGCAAGGTATGCTTAAGGTCATTGTCAGGACCATTATCACTATTAGACTTGCACTTGGGAGGATCAAACTGTTGCAGTAGGCTCTTTGCAACCAGGTTGACTATATGAGCAAAACAATGTGTGCAGCTGGCCTGGCCATTGAATGATGGAAGGGCATCTGAGTCTCCAAGAGCCTCAACCATGGTGTTATTATTACTTGCATTGTTGCAAGTAATGCTGAGTATCTGTACATGATATTCAGTCCTGTTTCTGCTATTCAATATAATAATATGTACTTTTTCAAGAATCCTGAAGTCTATTAAAACCTGTTCAAATGCCTCTGCCAGATTTTCACCTGAATGTGACTGAAAGAAGAGTTAGCTTGAATCAATATCCACTGCAGGTGAGTATCATGTACCTTTGAAACCTCCATAAAGTTTAACAACATTCATGTAGACTGACCATTGTGAATGAAATGGACAGTAAAGGCCACAAATGCTTGATGGTTTGGCAATGTCCATGCATCAGTTGCAAAGCTAAGTTCCCCATCATATTCCTATTAACATGTCAGCTTCAGTCCTTGTTTACACTATCAACTCATCTGAAGCAACCTCGCAATTCACTGATGAGTTTTTGTGAACACTGTTTTGATATCACAGGATACCGTAGTGGGATGAGGAAGGTAGTAGCTGGGATGGCCTATTTTCATTAAGCAGAGGAAGCCATGGTCCTTGACAATGTTGAATGGGTGTAGGCTTTCCAAAACCTATTGTACAATTTCCGCTCTGAAGATGCAAGGTCAGTAGTTGTACTATCCATTAGCTCATGGAAACATGCTTACCATGTCTCAGTTTTGGTGTGTAAACAGTGTGAATACATCACTGCCCCTTTATCCTTTGACTGCTCAAACATCTTTATGATGGTCTTATCTTTTCAGCAAACTTTGACTATCTTTCATGCACCATTGTGATTCTTAGCATTGTCAGCCATATCAAGAACATCTGGACCCCAGCACACATGTTACCTGTTGATTCTTTGTCCATTGTGTCAAGGTATTGAGCAACAACATGCTTACATCCTTTTGCTGCACAAGTGAAGATGTGGCATTTGCAATCATGGTGATACTCGATAGCAGGAACAGGATGGAAGAATGCATAAGCAGATGCTGACCACTTTTTCATCATGTGTTCTGATATCATCATTAAATTGGTATCCATTAGCAATGAGGATAGGGAAATACCTAGCTCAGCCTCATCAGTTTCCTCATTCACATGGCATTATCACATATAGAGCTATTATTGGAGTCAGAGTCAGATGGATCAAGCAAGAGTGGGAGATCAACATTCATCACAGAGGTGCCAGATGGTGCAAGCAAGATTTACTGGGAGGGGGATCTCCAGATGGTGCAGTTGATGAGGCTTTTGCTATCAGCACATAAGTGCAAATTAATGTGCAGATAACAAGTACTGATGGGGAGATGGAACAGTCTTCTTGCTTTTGACCGCTGCCTTGACCTTTTTTTGCAATGTTCTTCAGTTTCTTTTTGGCCTTCAAGACAGTCGACAAGATAGATGTCATTGAGGTGGTAGACTGGGCTTTGCTAGCTTTGTCTCGTTCAGTCTCAGTTTGCTTATACTCGCTGAACACAATCTTGGTTTCTTCAACAGATACCATAGTGAGAGGATAAAGGACCGTATTGCAGTATATTTGTTTTATGCAAGCATAGAAAACTTAAACTGTACCACTGTACAGTCTCACATCCCGGCTCAGATGGTAGCATGGGATTTCTCACAGAAGCAAAACTGCTGTCGGGTTAGTCAGGTTAATGGCAGGTAAGACAATACCAACCTGTACCTGTACCCATAAGTACCTGCACCTGTGACCTGGAAAAAACCCCCATACCCATGCTATTCACTAAACAGAGGTCCCTTCCTCCAAGTGAAATTGGTAAATACCTTTTAAAGCTCTCCATGAGTTATCACCTGAGTTTATAGAAAGTCTAACAGTCGCGCTTCAAAGAAATGACATTCTGAAAGGATGGGTACCTGAGGACCCTGGGGACATTGTGGCTTGTGGATTTGGCCAAAATGAAAATCTCTAATGGGTATTCATATATCATTTATCCCAATTGAGAATATATTTAATTATCTGGAACAAGAAATATTAATATCAGTAATATGTGCAATGTAGAGTATCCCATCTCAAGAAATACAATCCATCAATACCACCATCTCCCACACTGAATATGATTTCAGGATGGAAAAACACCTGATTGTCAGTCTCATCATCTCGTCTGCCCATATCTGTCTGATTGTCATATAACTGATCCAGGACGAAATACCCATCATAGTGCAGGTATAGTGCCTGCTCTCCAGAATATGTGTCAAAAGCTTTTGCCGTCTTGTGCATCAAGTCATGGAAGGTATGAGAGTTCATACCATCTAAACCATAAGACCTATCTCATCATTTACAAGAGATGGTAGAACACACCTTACTGCCCAAAAGATGTGTCTCCCCTTCAAAACATGCCTAATCTCTCTTCTGTGATGCTGCAATGCCTGTACCAAGATCCTTGCCTCACACTAATAATCCATGCTAGTCCAATCACCCCGCCAGTGACACCACACCCGACTTGACGATTGATGAGGCATTCAGCAGCAAGGGTGAATTACTTCCCAGTTCAATACACTAGTGTAAATGATCGCAGGTCTATCTCACTCTCAGACAATGATTGGGGAGACAGCACAATATTTTGCAGCATGCAGAAGCTTCACACACCTTTGCATGTAGGTAAACCACTATTAGGAATATCCTGCACTCTCCCTCAATTCACCCAAACCCGATCCTAGTGAGGCAGCAGGACAGACGACTCTTGCAGTGCCATGGGACATTCCAAAGCATAAAATGATCCTCCAGGAATGTGAAACCGCCTGCCATTTGCGGCAATGACTATCACAAGTAGTCGGCAGCCTCCTGCTATATGGTGCAATGAGATCTTGGTGTTTTAGGGCCCTTGCACATGATTTGGGGTCACAGGACATCCAAACGGCCGAGTTAGGCATGACAGGGCATAAAATTGCCCTCAGTGGCATACAACAAGCATGTACTGTGGGTGCTACTGTCCTGTCACATGTGTGGGATTGCTATAGTGCAGAGGGATGTCCCTACACATGGTCAATCAAGTGCAAGACGCAATTGTGGGATGAAGGCTCGTATTGCAAGGCATGGTGCACAGCCACAGCACAACTACCAGTCATCAAACCGGTCATCCATCCGAACTTTTATTGCTTTTTTCTTTTCTTTGTTCTTTTTCTGTTTTTTCGCTTTTTGGTGGGAGGTCCCATTTATCAAGTATCCTTCAACCTCCCTACGCATGAGCATTTGTGTGCAGGAGAACCATGAAAGCACCTGCTACTCACGCAAATCCACGTTTTCCATCTGGTACGACGTCAGTACTTTGTCTACAATTTCATACTGTGGACATTACCTATTCTCATGCACTATCCTCCTCTGACAATGGCTTGCTAAACTTGAAATTGTACCTTCTCTGAACTTACCGTAAAACATTTAATGACGTGATTCTTAAACTTGATGACTACAAGCTACCATGGTTTATTTACATAATTACTTAATATACATTAGTCCCCCCTCACATTCTCTATATACCAATGTACCAAGTAGTCCAAGAATTCGGCTCTCAGCACTGCTCTGATCGATTCAAACCTCCAAATAGATGTGTCCAGATCTTTGAAGCCACCATTGTGCATGATGACCCAGGCATACATGCAGGTGTACAGTCCACTATCTTTGAGTTTGGGACTTTGAGGTGACTATGTCTGGACTCAGCACAATGATCAAGCTCACATGGGAATTTGACACCTGCTGTCTTATCAAGAGTCATAGTCCAGTGGTTTACATCCTGGTTTGCAACGTTGTCAAAGATGCCAAAAAGTGTTTTCTACAGACTTAGCGCAGCAAACACACACAGGAATACAACTTACCAAAACCCAGTCATTGGCCTGAGACTGTGAGGCATCCAAAGCTTGTCTGCTGTCCCATACAGTGAAACACTTGACATTCAGATCGATTTGGATCAGAATCCAGTGGCCTGATTTGTGCTCCCATAGCATCCAACTGCAACAGTATCCTGGCCTGGCCATGTTCTTCTATAACACTTGTTCACTCTATTCCCAGTTGAGCTTCGATAAATGACATACCTCAACTTCTTCAGCATATGACTGCCCCCAATGGTAGTCCATACCTGGCCACATGAACCAACCCTCTTGATGTGATGCATTGTGCTCCAATATTATGCTCTTTAACAGACACTGCAGGACTGTTGAGGGCACAGAACCCCCTTCTGATAATGCCTCAAAATCAGACCGGGCCAAGGTGTATGCATCGACTTCCCATCCCTGCCCTTGGTCCTTGGATCTTGCCAACTGGATGTACTGTCATTCTCATCTTAGTTGTCTAGTTGAGACAGCATGAAGAGCCACACACCTTCTCCCCATTGATGGGGGCATTACAATCTCCTAAAAGAAATTTCAGATGATTCGACCACACCCATTGGACTTGTCGCATACCGAAAATGAACTTGTCTCACCATATTTTTCTCCACTGCCCTACTGTTGTGATGTCCCCTAAACTCATTGCTGAACTGTGATGTTCTTTTATAGAGGTGGCCACGACAGCATCCACCTCTTGTGCCATTGCAGGCCACTCTGTGTCCCACTTCTGGTGATCAAAACCTGAGACGTCATCAGGAAACACAGCACAGCAGAACTTCTGACAATGTATATCATATCTTGACCTTGTGGCTGGATGATGAACAGTGGGATTAACATACACAAGTCCATCTTTGAAGCAGTGAGGAGATCTTCTCCAGTGTAAGAAGTGCCAAACAACTCCCACAGAACCCCCTGCACTATGGAACATAAGGTTGTATTGTCCACTGGGTCATCCATATCATCATTCTTGAAATGGCCAGATGAGGCTATGAAACCTGCATAAACATCCATGGCTCATCCAAAATGCAAAGCTGACTGCCTCACCAAGCCATATGGCGTCTTGGGGATGCCATTGGGACCATAAAGGATGAAGTGACAGGTGGCAAAGCGAATTATATCCTTGTATGAGGTAATAGCGAGATGCACCCCATCCTTGGTTGGTTCCTTACACTCGCCATTCAAAGCCAATGCGAAGATGCAAAAATTACCCAAAGCAATGACATCCAGTAATCCTAGTTGGGTACTAATGTCAGGTACATGGACATCTGAACCTGTTGCCAACATGATTATCCGGGATGATGATAAAACTACCAAGGGTACTGACCTTGCCAGCCTGTTGGGCCACATATCACTTGGCTGAAGTAACACATCATTCTCAGCAATATCGAGCACAGTTTATGGTGGACAACATTGGTGATGTAGTAGTGCAACATGCAAGTGTGGACATACCCTGCGACAGTATCCTGTATGCAGCTCATCATGTAGAAATGCTGTCCCAACACAATGCAATTCTTGAGAGTGATCACTGCATGATGAGTATTTGGGCACATGAAACTAAATGTGTTCCCCTGTCAGGTTAGTGCACTGAATGTTAAGGTCTACTCACAGGACTGTGCCAGGCTCCAAGACCACAACTTCTGCCTCCCACTCAGTAGGGTCAGGTATGAACCCTGGCACCCAATCATTCATGAACTCGTCCACATGTGTGTCCTGAATACAGCATGCCACCCTACAGAAGAAAAACCATATCTTTTTGCCTGTCAGTACTTGGATGACAGTTCTCACACTCATGCCATCATGATGGATATAACTGAAAGTTGCCATGGTGGAGGCCAAGGCGAAGCATGTGGCATCCTTGGGATAGTGGTTGTTGAAGATGTCAGTGGGCACTTCCCTAGTTTGATCAAACGCAATGGATTGACTCATGACTGGCCTGCCACATCAAGAAGGTCATTAAGGACATGCTGAGTAGTATGGAGTGAGTGCTCACTCTGCATGCGGTGTCTCAACCAGCAGCCTCTCTGCTCTTGGCAAGTAGAGTGCGTTAAGCACCAGACCCTTGCTCTCTCGATCCCCCTGCTCAAGAACAAATGAAGCAAACATTCGATGTGAAGCTCCATGTCTTTCTTGCTCCTGGTAGAATGGTCTTGAATAGTATATCAGAGAGGCACTCCACAAGCGGCTCTGCATATCCACCTTGTACTTCCCAGGGCACATCTACATTGCCGATCTTTTTCATGGAATCTATGTCCCACTCCCAGGGACTGCTTTCTTCCATGCTGGTTACAAAAACTTGTTTGGTTTGAAGCAGGGCCTGCAAGGACACCCCTCTCGCAGCAAGCTGTGAGGCGCTCACATGAGCCACCATACATTCCCGATCGTTGATGCTTTTACCATGCCAGCAGGTCAGGCTGTCATGAGCACAAGCCTGCCATCCCAAAACTGTCTCCTTGTCATCTTGGAACTTGGGAAGATTAGTATCCTCAAAGGACCAAGTCATCTGACATAAATGACACTTACAGTTGACTTTAGGCCAAGGATGCTAAGGTTGATTGTCTGATCTACTGAGGCCACATAAGTTCCTCCATATTACATGGCAGAAAGATCCAATCATCAGCATCAAATGGCTCCTCAATGGTTTGCCAGTGCTCATTTGCACATATATCCAGATGAGAGGGCTCTAAGATATCGTCAGGGGTGACAATTAAGCTGTCTCTTTCATCGCCACTGCCCCCTATTTTAAAGGATTGCGAGAACAGATCCTTCCATGTCTGCAGATTGACGCTATCCACTGACCTGCTGCATCTATGTGCACTCATAAATAAGCTGTCCTCACTTTTTATGCAGCACACTTGTCGCCAAATTGAACCTGTCTCCTGCAACTGTTGAGCATGGCGAGCATTAACCGCAAGCCATGGACTATATTTAGATTACTGGTACATACCTGATTAGTCTATTTTTTTTCATTGCAGCATCTCAGCGTTCAACCAACATCTTCATGCTGAGATATATGTGTATACTCACTATATTTCTATTATACTATTGCTAATCGTACCTATAGATATACTTTATACTCATACATATTCTATAGGTACAGTACAGCGTTCAACCAACATCTTCATGCTGAGATATATACTTCATACTCATATATATTCTATAGAATCCTTTTCCTCTTGCAACTGTGCCTTTCCTCTGCGTACACCCTGGTCCACTGCTCAAGAGGTTATGGGCCCCGGCGATATGAATACCACCTCCACAGTGAAGCTTCTCAACCTGCCCTGGCTCAAAGATGATGGGAGCAATTGGATCCTCTACAAAGAGCAAATACCCAATGTGACAACCTCAAAGGGACTAAAATATCACCTCGCTGGAACCGCAAAGAAGCCAGCTGGACTCACTGAAAGGAATGGGGACTATTACAAGCTGGGAGAACTTGCACCACTGTCTGATGATGAGCTCGAAAAACACCTAAAGCTCCAGGACGAGTATGACCAGAAGGAGGCCTTGATGTGAGAGATCTTTTACGAGACAGTCTCAAACTCTACATTCATGCAAATAAAGAACCAACCGAGTGTAGCACATGTATGGGCTGCACTTGTAGCCATCTTTGAGACAAAAGGGGACCTCGTACAGCAAGATCTCCTCTCACAGTTGCAAAACACATGATGCCCAGAGGATGGTGACATTCACACACACCTCTCAAACATGCAATGCATGGGCACTGTCATCACCGATCAGTCATTCTGCACGTACATTCAACAATCTCTTCCCAGTTACCACCCAGTCCTGAAAACGCTCAGCATAGCAGCTAAGCTAACAAGCAAACCCATAACAAGTGCTGTGCTCATCCAAGAAGTCTTGGAAGCCGCCAATGAGATGAAGGTTGAAAAGAATATCGACAAAGGAGTACAGAATTCTGCTCTCACAGCAAGCGCTAGGGCTGCAAAGGACAAGGGAAAGGGAAAGAAGAAGGGAAAGGAATCAAAAGAGAAGAAAAAGAAGCACTGCACAAATTGTGGCATGGACAACCACGTCTTCGATGACTGCTTCCATGAGGGAGGAGGTAAAGAGGGCCAAGCACTTTGGGACTTGAAGAAGAAGAAAGATGGCGACTCGGCCAATGTTGCAGGCCAGTCCTCAAGCTCTGAAGTCAAAAGCTATGGCTTCGCTACAATAATTGACGATGAGAACATGGAGCTTAGCGCCACGTCTGACTGTCAAGCCCAGGCTGAAGCATTAGCCGCCTCGGGCATATGCTATGATGGTGAACTCATTGACATGGGAGCTAGCCGCCACTTCTCACCTGCCCGAAGTAAAATGATCAACTTTGTGGATATCAAGCCAACACCCATCCGCACCGCTGATGGACATTCATTCAATGCTATCGGCAGAGGAGACTACATCACATACCTGCCAATGGGCCATGGCAAACCAGTGACCAAGGTCACCCTCTACAACACGTACTACTCCCCGCACCTAGCATTTACACTAATATCAGTCAGCTGTCTTGATACAGCAGGCTATTCACTTACAGTTGAAGATGGAAACTGTTATATCAAAATCCCGAAACCTGACAGACACGTCATCGGGATCATGCCTAAAATCAATGGACTCTACTGCGTACAAGGCTCCACCAACCATCACCATAGCAAATCCCCCACAGCAGCTGCCACTACCCCTCAAATCAGTATCTCGCAGTTCCACTGCATGACAGGACATGCAAGCCATGAAGCCCTGAAGCAGAGCATACGTAACAGGGAGATTATCACCCCCAATGTTGACCTAAACTCCGAACCGGAGTTCTGCTCAGCATGCATACAAGCTAAAGCTGCTATGAAACCTTTCCCAAAGCATAGTGACAATGAGTCAGCCAAGAAATATGGTGACAAGGTCATGGGAGACGTATGGGGACCAGCCAAAGTCAAGTCTCTTGGTGGTTCAAAGTAATTTGCACTATTCAAAGACATCGCAATGAGGGAGCGCTTACCATACTTCATGAAGAAGAAATCGGAGACATTGCACTGCTACAAGGAGCATGAGGCTTGGATGAAAGCCCAATGTGGAGTAGACATCATGAAGATATTCGGGTGTGACCGTGGAGGAGAGTTTACGAGCGAGGAGTTCAAACGACACCTTAAATCTGCAGGGACAATATGTCACCTCAATGTCCATGACTTGCCATCCTCAAATGGAATGATGGAACGAGAAATGCGCACCGTGCTTGAAGGCGCCTGAGCCATGATAATTGCAGCTGGGCTGCCCAACTATCTGTGGGCCAAAGCTGTAGCCTACCACTGCTGGCTGAGAAACCGGCTCCACCACAGCGCTCTTGCTGATGAAAAGACAACCCCACATGAAAAGGCTACACAAAAGAAGCCCAACATGTCCAATCTGCATGAATTCGGGTGCACCGTGTGGGTGAAGCAACTCAGACAGGGGAAACTACAGCCTCGTGCTGATCCTGGCTGATTTGTAGGCGTTGACGAAGAGTCAAAGGGTATCCAGGTCTATTGGCCTGGAAAACATCATGTCAGTGTCGAGAGAAACATCTACTTCAATAAAGATAAAGACCTGAGCAAAGAAACTGTCAAAATTGAGAGGGAGTACAAAACAATTGTCAATCCCGACAGATTCCATGCTACAAATGACACTCGTGACAGCCCAAAAGAGACCAAAAACAAGGGAGACAAACCTGCCACACCCCCTACAGACACTCAAGACACTCCAGAAAACCCGCTGTCACTACTAACACCTCTATCAACCCTGCCATCAAGCTCAAATCTCGCACCACACCAATGAAGGGTCCAAATTGAGGACATTCCTGATGAAAATGACCCTCCAGCCCGACCCCAACGAGGCTCATGCAAGCCAGAAGGTTTCTACAACATCAACCGAATGTTGAAGGCTGCTGGTGTCACTGCATGTGTCCTTGAAGATGATGGGAGCCTTGAACCAGGTGGAATGGACTATGATACGAGCGTATGAGCGAGGAAGAGTGGTTGAGTCAGCACTAGCCACAACTAATGGAGAGCCAGATTCCATACAGGAGGCACTGAAGGGACTGCAAAAATGGGAATGGAAGGACACCATTGAGAGGGAGCTAAGCCAAGTTGAAGGCTTACATATGTGTGACATAATCCCCACTCCACCTGGGGCCAACATCACTAAAAACAGATATACGTTTCATATCAAGATGGATGATCAAGGCCATATTGTACGATACAAGGCTCAGCTGGTCCTAAAGGGGTTCTCCCAAATTTACAGCGTTGATTTTCATGAAACATTCACTCCGACAGTCCACCTAACTACTCTACATGCATTACTATCCGTAGCTGCTCAGAAGGATGCCGAAATACACCAAGCAGACATCAAAAATGCCTACCTCCAAGCTGACCTCCATAAAACCTTGTATATGGAGTTACCGCCGATGTACGAGGACTTTAGGGAAATCCCCAACAGACTCAAAGGGAAGAAGCTATGCTGTAAACTGCATAAGCCATTGTATGGAAGCAAGCAGGGCACACACAAGTGGTACCAGAAGCTGAGATGAGTATTCCTTGCTCTCGGATACTCCATATGCCAGGCCGATGAAGCAGTGTTCTACAAATTCAGCAAAGACAAGTACACCATCATTGCCGACTCCAACGACACAATGAACCTCATCAAGAAGCAGCTCAGAGAGCACTTCGAGATGACTGACCTTGGTGAGATTAAATGGCTGCTCGGTATTAGCGTACACCGCAACCGTGAGGCCAGGACCATCACTCTAGGCCAACAGGCATATGTCAACAGCATTGTCGAATGGGCTGGCCAAAGCGAAGCTAGAGCAGTCATCATGCCAATGGAACCAGGAATCGATTTGAGTTACGACTCACCCTCCGTATCCACCACTGTGCTCCCCAAGGCCCAGCATTCCCAATACTGTGAGGCCATCAGACGTCTCATGTACACATCTCTTGCAACTCGACCCGATATCTCCTACGTGATGTCAATGCTATCCCATTACATGCAGGAGCCAAGAACCTCTCACTGGCATGCAGTTTTATGAGTCTTCAAATACCTAAAGGGAACTTGAGACTATAGTCTCACTCTAGGAGGAAAGAGCATGGACGTTATAGGCTATTCTGATGCAGACTGGGCTCAGCAGATGCACAGGCACTCAATTTCAGGGTATGCCTTCTTTGTAGAGAATGGAATCATATCCTGGAGCTCTAAGAAACAGCCTATCATCACCCTCTCCAGTACCAAGGCTGAATACGTTGCCCTGACGCACACATCAAAGGAGCTGATATGGCTCCACAAACTCTTCAAGGAACTCATCCACCCAATCGCCACCCCAACAATGTTATTCTGCAACAATCAAGGGGCAATGACACTCTCAAAAGACTCCACATACCATGCACGAATGAAGCACATTGATGTGCAGTTCCATTTCATTAGGCAAGGTAAGTGCATTGCACTGGACATAAGACCAAAAGGGGAGCTGGGTTTTGAGATACTCTGGACAGGAGGTTGGCTGATGATGGGTTGGAAGGGTTGAGACTATAGTAGCCATCACTTCTTCTGATTCACTAGGAGGTTTGTATGCCTCTGTCAAAGGTAGATGGATCCCTTCAACACCAACCTTTTTACGAAAGAGGGGTTGCTTATGGGCATATTGTAGGACCTCTGTCTTACCAGGTTTTGCATTCTCACCTGGACAGTGACTATTTATCTGATGTTGTTGCAAATACTTCAGACTTGCCCTGTGTGATGCACACCTTTCAAAGCGGTACCATCTCTGGCAGCCAGGACACTGCATGCTGCATCAAGGAGGGGGTAGATCAGAGACTGGCTTAGAAACTTTGACATTATTATACTCTATATAGTGCTCAATGTCCAGCTCAGTTTGGTTCTTTGGTATCCCATATGCTTGATTGATATGGGTAATAAGTGATGCCACTGAATAGTTTTTGGTGATGGCACCATGGATGGCCTTGGTAGCATGAAAATTTGCAGAACTGGCAATTAGCCAGGAAGAGAGTTGGCCAAGGGGAAGGAGGCATGTGTCATGTGGAAGTGGAAGGATGATTGCATTCAAATATGAAGAGAAGAAGGAATTCCCAAAAAGATGGAGGACAGCACAGTGGTAGTTAGACACTGCATTTCTTTTTGTGTTATCTCCATGACCATGACTACAGCTACAGCGATTGTCACTTCAGCGATACTGGTCAGCAGAGATCTTGATCAGGCATGGGACTGAAGTCTTCCCATCAATTTCCATCATGTAAGATGGCACAACTTGTTCAACCTGAGGCACTGGGCTAAGCTCCTTATTTTCACTCTCTAAACAGACTTATCACACTTAACAGAACAGAAACAGCATCACTGATTCGTATTCACTCTGACTAAGTTCTCAAAAGTCTTATCAAAAGGGTATCTCATATTTCTCTGAGTGAGCTTGCTAATTCTATGCAAAGCTTGAAGTCACAAACTGATCCTTTGTCATAGTACCATCTTCAACATGTGCATGGGAACTCGGGGGCTTGAAACTTGGCTTCTATCTACTGGAACCATCCTACTTATACTACAGAGAATTTAGAATTACAAACATCGTGCAGTGCCCAGACCCCTACATGCATAGCACATTGCCACCACTGCCTTACTGAGCATCTGAGTCAGGCTTCCCAGTTTTAGTCTCATTTCTATAGTGAGCTCACTAAACGCATGCCAAGAGATGCTCTCCTGACACCCGCAGGCTTGTTCTCTGACGACTGACAGGTCTAGGCATACAGAACTATCACTTCTGACATACGTCCTTCAGTACTTCTTTCTTGGATTCACAGAGGCTTCTCATAGACACAGCAACAAGTGAGTCTTTGAACAATGGGACTCTGGACAATGGAATGTGGGCTCATGGACTTTGGCTGAGACCCACTGTCCAAGTTCGAGCCGGTGATATCTGTCATCTTGCATAAGGATTTCCTCAGATTTTCAGGTACAGCATGTCATAGTTAGTGAGTGTGCTAAGTACTTTCAATGTTAATGCAACCTTCGAAGTGTCATCTAACTCCCATGAGCATGCTTGTAAGTTAGAGCATAGTGTACTGGGTATGGGTTTGGCCTTCTCATCATGCATGCCCATCAGGTACAGTGCTGTGACTAAGTCCTGTTTAGAATCCCATCACTTCTTATGCCCTAAGTTATATTCTGCATCATTGCACCATGTAGCATTAGTGTTAACGCATCATTTTAGTCTGCTCGCTCACTATATCTCTGTGTATGTGTAAAACATGCTAGATTGCAAAATTCCATGTGTAAGTAGGCTGTAGTCGCAACACCGTTCATCAATGATGCTGCCAGCGAGGGCGACGACAAAGGTGATGAGGAAGAATATGACACTTACACATGTGTGCACCCTCTCTTCTCAGACATCACGTATCTGACCTTTTTCATTGATATCTAGCTTGTGACATAGAGCAGGAGATAGCAATCCATGAGGTCGAACCAACACCGCAGGACAACAATTCAAACCATCATGACTTAGAACAGTGGCTTAAAGAACTGTTGGAAAGATATAGGAAGTCTCGTGCTCAGGCAGTTATGGGTATCTGGTTTTTGAAATGCTCGACATGGTGGATTGGTGGACCTGGCAACATGAAGGATGTAGAGCATCTGGGTTCACCCGAGAGGACTGGCTGTGTGTTTGCGAAGGATGATACTGCAACAACCTTGCATTGGTGCTACAGACACATACTTGGGGCTATGAAACACTCGTGGTGCCTCGCCTGTTGGATTCCCTGCCTGTGAAGCACAAATGGCAAAGCACTCATCCAGAACCAAGACTCTACAAGCAAGCCGACTATGTGGATGTTCAAGACCACTGATATGAACATGGTCTTATGTTTTGCAGGTCTCACTGGTGCAGGCTACAAAAATTCATGATTCAATCTCTTGGTCACAGGCAAAACCTTTCTTGGAGTGTGGTCATCCACTTGTTTGGACTGGTCCGTTGTTTCCCCCTGTGCATGAATGGGTCTTTCAACTGGGAATGTCTGTCTGTTTTGGCAAGAACAAGACACTGGGTCTGGTGGAAGTGGTATCATGCAATGTCCTCAAGCTGGTGGACTTGAATGGGGGCAGTTCAACTATTGTGTCCTGGCGAGATGTTTGTAAGGACATCCAGGTCGGCGACTACGTTGAGATCACTGGGCTTGTTACAATAGGCAGTTGGATCAACCATGTCAAAGGCAACAACGTGAACATTATTCAACAAGCACATCTCTTGTCAAACGCATCATCCAGTGATGCCAATACCATTGAAGTTGGGAATGACTTTGTTACAAGAACGTGAATGCAAGGCTGACCTTGAAATTGTAGTTCTTTAGCACCCATTGTAACTGTGCAGTGGTCACCACACCACCCCATTCCAAGGCAATGGTGACCCCCCTTAGCATTCAAGAGCATCAAGTATCAGTTCCATGGGTGGGCATTGAGGTCACGATAGGACAGCCACATCATTGATTGCACAGGTACCATGGCACCATCCAAAATGTGACAGTGGTACCAGCTTGACACGGCTTCATACTGGTGGGAGCATCCTGATCTTTGCAACAAAGAGATGCATGTCTTCCTGCCTTCGCACAAGAAAGAGGTCATGGTGAAGGTGATGACACTTGGAGGCCAAGTCGCTTTGGCCAGAACCTTTTTTTCCAAGCCTGCGGCCATGGACTATACACAGGTTAGGATCTGGCATCCTCATCAACGTGATTATGATCTGTGGCTAATCATCCATGGAGAACATGTCGGTCAGTATGTTCGTGGTATTGACTATGAAATCAGGAACATGGAATGAGAACTGTGGTGGCAAGTCCGAATTGTCCATGTCAAACCTGGTGAAGTGAACACCCCTACTGATATTACGATTTGCCTGCCTGCGACACACCTGGTGTTGGTACCGGAGCAGCCAGATGACAAGAAGCTAAATGATGACCTAAAGCAGACTTTGAGGAAACAGTTTGAGGAACATCCAAAGTTGTGATAGCAGTTTATATGGACACATTAATAGCATGACATGTATAATATAATTTCTTGCATCAGGAAATATTTACAGAATTAGTCAGGACAGGAAGATATTACAGACAGGCTGTGAACTCTCCCGGAGGGAGCAAGAATGTCATGGGAGCACTTGGGTCTTCAGGTCCACCCTCATAATCCTCCTTGATCTCTTCCTCCCAGCATAGTGCTTTCCCAAATGGTTCATTCTCTATTTCTTCTCCATCAGGGACATCTGGCCTTCCCTCTTCTTTGATGTCATACTCTTCGACTTCCTCAGGCTGTGACTCCCATTCTTCTGCCACTATGAGTCAGCCATCAATGTTGGTTTGATCACTTCTCAGTAAGATGCACTCACTCAGTCTCATGCCTCCATTAATGCCACCATAGTACTGGAACAGGGGATTCTCTGCAAGGGCCTGCTCAGCAGAGATGGGTTCATCTGGCATGTCTATGTCGTCATCGTCTTCAGCATCGTCACCCTTGCTGGGACCCAACAAAACACAAGCAGTCCATTCAGGGTGGCCCACTATGCCATGACCATGAAACCTGCTGAGCAGTTCCATATAAATCTCCCAGACACACTCCTGTACAACCTCAGGCAAACCCATTTTCTTCATAATTTCATCGGCAAGGGCTTTAAAGGATTCAGGGACCATTTTAAAAACCATATGATCGGGTGGTGCATAGATTTGTTCCAGTGACGTAGGTAAGTGTGTGCCTTTGCCAGTCAGACATTCTCAGTACCTGGATCACTTTGAGTGATGAGAGGCATTTTTACACAATGATTTTAGTCAGGGGACCTCAAATTTTGTTTGGACTGACCTCCTGCAGCCTTGATGACATCCAAGTAGTAGCTGCAGATCAGGATTGGGTTACGATTGGTCCACCATATCTTTGTCCACTTGATGACTCCAGTGAAAGGGTCCAGACCCATGTGAAGTCACAATCTGAACCTTTTCCATTTATCATGTTGATCAACACACCATAGATCAAAGGGACCAGCTGACCAAAATCGATGATGAAAAAGCCAACCATGCCAGCAACCATGAAACAGGTTTGGCAAAAGCACCTCATCAGGAGCTGCAGAAGGGAATGAGTCAAAGCATGATGCACTTAGAATAAAGAAACCAGATATGATTGGGTTTGTTTTGATTTTTCTTCTTGGGAATGCCCTGCTCTGATATCAGATTCAGTTGATGTTGGTCTTGTTGCACTGATGCACAACACTCACCAGGTGAGGCTTGGCATTGGGGAGGCATGGGGGCAGCATTAGAGGGAAAGGATGGGGTGCCACGTATCAGGTGGGATGCCTTGTCCAATAGTCACCATCTCCCTTGGTTGCCAATTTCATTTATCAGAATAAATGAAATTGGGCTCACTGGAGTGAAAAAATCGGGTGATTTTTTATCTTCATTCAAGACAGCATGCAGCCTACTTGAATCTATCCATTGCCATTGTGCCTCTCTAAAGATATGCACAAGAGATACATATGCTCTAACAACAGCATAGCATTTCTTTGCCTGTTGGTGTTTGGTTTGGGCACTGTTGCACCAGCAAGCGAGAACAGGTCATAACCACCATCCCCAGGGCCAACATTCACTCCCAACTAATACAATATGTCTCCAAGGATATCAGCAACTGTAGTCCTATCCATGTCTGCATCTGAGGTTAGGATTGTCAGCCACAAACACAGCATGAGCAGGGGTGAAAAATGTACAGATAGTGAACATCTTCCCCAAAATTCCCAGTACAAAGATTGTTTGCATGTTTCTACATCAGAGGTATGCACTCCTCATCCCCTTATGGGCTACCCACAATCTCACTCCCAGCACCACAGAGACTAAGACTGTGTATATACCCCACCGTAACAAGGCAAAGGCTGGGGGGGCTCTACCCCATTTTGCCCTTCTAGGTCAGTTGGGAATCAAACCCCTGACTCATCTCGCAGTGCAATGGTGGATGCGTGGGGGTTCTGGAAGAGGTCTGTAGTTCCATGACTTTTCACACATAATGTCTACTGAAGCTCACTATGCATAGCTGGACCTTCCAGTCAATGTGGAACAAGTATGTTCAAGCCTGTTCATGCAGTTTCATAACATAACTAAATTTATATGTCCAGCATCAATGAACTCCACAGGAACATGGGAAGAGGATGAGCTGGATGAGAAGCTGGACAATGATGGAGAAAGGCAATGCCCTGTGTTTGCCAGTATGAGGCAAGACCCCCAAGAATGGGTGGAATGTGAATACATGGGGTGTCTTACCAGCAGGGAACACAAAAAGCAACACTGGATTGCCTCTGGTGATTGGTGTGACTATTGCTCCATCACTACTCATGTCAATGGTAAGAGGGAGCTCAAAGAAATTTTGGTGTGCCACAACGCATTTTGCATGCTTGAGGAGCACACTGAAAGAGTCAAGACAGGTACCCCCAGCTCTTATGATGGAGGAATAGACTGACTGATTATTGAGTAATGTAGCTATTAGACAATCAAGAAATACTGCCAAGGCATTGAGCCATGCTCGTCCTGCATGCGCCACTCAGGAATGTAGTCCTGACAATTTTGAGGAGACCATACAGTCGGTGGTGAAGCCAAGTTGCATGAAGCCTAATCTAGGTTTTATTGGAAGAGTGATCATCAATGCGAACAAGCCTGGTGAGTAGAAACCATGAGACAATGTGCATGGAGACACTCTAATCACATGTCAGATGCAACACCCACAATTTGTAGCGCTATAGCCATGCCAAAAGGTCATCCAGGTGACCCTAAGGCTACTGCCAAAGGCTATAATGCCAACCACATTCATCATGGGCTTGAGTCAGAAAAATTTGTGAAGCTGTTGGCATCACTGACTATGCAAGAAACCTTGGTTGTTGTAGTGGATGTGGTTGTTTGTCATAACAAGAAGACAATGGAACTGTATTGGGTATGTCCATTGAGTTGAATGAGTGGAACCATGCATTGACATTTTTTAATTCAGTCCAACATGCTTGAAGGAATACATGTTCCTGTTGTGTGCAGGCGAAAGGATCTGGAGAGCAGACTCCATGAGCAGTACCTCTGGCACTTGCCTGGTACTCAGAAGGGGTACAAATGGGATTATGATGAATTTGTTCTCTGTGATAAGTCACGTGAAAGAGTCTTGATGGTAAAGCCTGATGGGATGCTCTCAAATGCTGATGAGTTCATCATGTGGGGTGGTCGGATTGATCCCAAAAATGGCAGTTGGATTGCCCCCTCCGGCAAAGTGGAGTTCAACTTCCACGTCAGATTGCAGTACATGTCAATATTCGAGGAGTGGTGGGACAGGAATGTGGTAAATGCCAGTTTGGAGACCAGTTCACCTGTCAAGAGCCCTCCTGCAAAGAAAGACAAAGGAAAGCAAAGGTGAGTCAGCAATGAATTTATGGCAGTATACTTGTTGATACCTCTCCTCAGGCCGGAGCTCCCAAGAGCACTCTAGAACCCATCCAAAGAAAGCGGCCTCTTGAAATTCGTCCAGTGTTGACAGATGATGATGATGATCTTTTAGTTGTCATCATAAATGAAACAGATAAGGCTGCTCCTCCTGCTGTGGATGGTGCTTGGAAATGTTTCCATGTGCCCAGGGTCATTAATGGGGATGAAGACAACGCCACTTGGAATGCCACAGTAGAACCCCCTCATAGGTCTCACTGCAAGTGCCAGAGAAGCCAAGTAGAGTGCTCCAGGTATGTGACAGGTGGTCATTCAATACTGTCTGTCTTTACTCACTGTTCCTCAGACCATCACACAGCTGCCAAGAGATCACACAGCTGCCAAGAGATCACTCAACTACAAACAGATCGACTCAGGTGCATGCCATTGCAGACATCAATATGGGTTATTCAAGTGACTGGTATCAGGCCACTGATAATTGCCTGTTTGAGGATACCATTACACCAATGGACAGGAATGAACGATGGACAGGATTGACCATGAGTGTTGCCAATGGTTGTTAGGCATCTTCTGAGCAGCAGGATAACAGTTGGGTGTGGCTGTGACACAGTTTACATTTGAAATGTGGGAATTGACTCTGAACCTACAAAAACAAGAGCAGAGCCCTGGCCTAGGGCCTGTTGATGACCTAGTTGTTCTCTCTATGGACACTTCATTTGAAATTGTTCCAGTTCAGGACTTGACAAATGGTTTGTGATGGGTAGGTTCATTCAAAGGGAGTGGAAGGGGTGGGAGTGAATCTGGTATGGAGTGAACTGGGATTGTCAACACAGCGCACTGATTCATTTCATTGTTTCTAGAGAACATGAGCTCATGGCATGTAGGGATAATGGTCGTTCCCCACTGTTTTCTGAAGCAGCTTCAAACAATGGCAGAGCTTTCACAGATTGAGTATGACAGCTCATTGTATGGGACGCTCTTGGGACATACCTCCAATGTGAAGAACTATGGAACAGGGACTTTTAAGATCGCTTGGAAGGGTATTTTGGAGGTTCCCAATGATGGTAACATTGTGCCAGCATGTTTACAGGGTCTGGTATGTTACAACTCTCTGGTGCGATGCAATCTTAAAGTTTTCCTATGCCTGGATGCATCATTTCATCAAAGAGAAAGACTCCTCACTGCCATGGCCAATCCCTCAATTTTGTTTTGCAGAGACAGCCATTGTGCAGTTGATCAAAGAGGACAACAAAGGTCTGCAGTGGACAAGTCAGGCATGGCTTGTAGAGGAATGGATGGAAGGACCTTTTGTGAAGTATGTTTGGAACGGTGATTTCAATGCCTATGATTAATTGGAACAAGGGGAAGAGACTGACCATGCCGAGTTTTTGATGTTTGTACAGCACATCCAATATGACAAACTTCATCGGAAGGTTTTCATCTCTGACTTCCAGGGTGAGTACAATATTGGTATGGTCACACCATATGGAACTGATGTCGTTGCAAAGGGGTGGGCCTGGTTTTGACAGATTCACAGGTTATGATGAGTCCTGAGTGAGTCCATGAATGATTGTCACATGAAAGGCTAATGTAGATGCAGATTGGGCAACAATGACATGTTTAGGGAGGGCAACTTACCCTAGGCTTTCAGTCACTTTCCAAATGATCACAAATGTAACAAGTGGTGTGATTGGTTTGGCTTAAAAGAGCTAGGGGAAGAACTACATTGCACTGGAGGCAAAGGAGGTACAGAATATGTGCTTGGAACAATCAAAGGGCTGCTTAAGTGTGGCTTAACTTTGTATTTGGTGGAGCCCAAATTGTGTGTCATAATGGGAAAGATCAATGTGAGTGGGTTGAGTGAACAGTGGAAAGTGCTGGGATTGGCCAACTAGTGAAAAATAGTAAGGTGTGACAACCAATCCTGTGACTGTGATTCCGAGCTCGAAACCTCTGTCACAGCTGATCAATGTTGTGACCATGATTCTGAGCTTGAAATCACAATCACAGGATTGGTAATTAGTTATAGTCACATATGATGGAAACAGATGATTGTGTCTATATGTGTAAATAGGCCTTTAAAGCTTGTGTTATGCAAGTCTAATTGTGGGAATGGCAGAACAGACAATGGCAATGTGATGCCTGAGCAACTTATGCAGGGACCAGGATTCTCCTAGTGCAGTTCCAAGGATCGAGGTCTTCAAAGAACATTTCAGTATGACACTTGAGTGAAGACCAGATTCTTGCAAGTGTCTTCTGTTCAGGCCATAGTAATACAATGTGGCATGGCACTCTCTCACTCTCCCAAACACTCTCATACTAGGCAGGTAAGCTTGTATGATAGCTTTCTCATTCACTCTCTTCATCCTGTTCTCACATGGGTGTAGTTTTGTCTGTTGCCCTCTCTGCCTTCATTAGTGGGTCTCCCTTGGGGCAACTTTGACCTTTGTCATACAAGTCATTGGATCTTTCATATGGAACAGATTGCTCTTTACTACAGGCACATGTACACTTTTCATGGATTTCCCTCATGTAGTATCTACTGCCTAAGACACTAGATAGATGATAATCAATGTTTTGGGACATTTCCAGAGGACTGATTTTGGCTACTAGCACAGTTCTAAGCTGCTGCAGCAATTGAAGTATCCTAAGGCCTGACAAGGCCTACAATAGGCTGCAATGGAGGGGTGGGTTGCAGCTGCAAAGGTAGAAACCCAGTTTTGAAGGAATATGTAATACACTGTTGTAGTTCTGTACAGTTGTAAGATGGCTGCATTTCCACATGTGCTGGGACAATGCCATGTTCTATTTACTTATGCTATCTCATGTGTCTTGTTAGTTTAATGGTCATCTTTGCTGATGTGGCACATAATGTCTGCCCAAGACAATTTATAAACCTTCTTTTAGCTGGTTTGAATACCACTCTGCACTATTATATTTTTCAAGTTGCTGGAAACTTTTTGGTTTTCACCTTCTCTGGTAGGATCAATTGTGGATCTGTTACTGAACTTAGATAGCCCCATATACCTGCAGTGACTTTTCACTAGCTGTCATATGATGCTAAGTTTCCTGGATGAAAAACTCTCAGAGGTAAAAGTCCAGTTACAAACCGATAATTTACTAAACTGGCATATCAAACCCCCTAATCTTAGATTCTGTAAGGGATAAGCATGTGTCTTACATAAGTTACAATTTTATGATTGTCTTATGTTTATGTGCATACTCCTAAAACATAAGTGCATTATCCTTATATGGTTAGTTAATCTGGTTCTATTGAATTGAGCAGCGAGTTCCATAGCAATGCACTTTCCTGAGTCCGATTACTATAGATGGCATTTTTGAAATTCAGAACGACATATGTCTGAGGCACGACCGTTAGGCTTTTTCTATGGGTTAACTTGCCACCCATGGTGCAAGTATTTGTCTCAGAAAATGGTGCTTGCCACCTGCCATTGCTCAGGTCATGACCCACCTGGGTGGAAAAGTGCAAGTATCTGAGTACTTACCAAGTACCTGGGTACTTACACAAGTACTTATGAGTACTTACTGACTATATACATATATATACAATGAACAACAGTGATGATGATGTTGGCAGCATGTGGAATGATGGAATGGGGGTCATGCTTGGGATCATCTGGAAGGTATTGAAGAGGGCTTTCCAATGCTCCAACAGTGAAGGGAAATAGTGAAGGTGTGACTAAGATATGGGGAAAACAAAATGATGGCTAAATTGAACAGTGATGAGAATGATAAGAGAGCAGTGTCTTGAGATGATAATAGATAAGGGAGACTAAAGAGTTGTCAGAACATATCAAAAAAGAGCTTTAAGACACGAAGGAGAAATTGTTAGCACAAGATGCAGGTTTAAGCTTATAAGGAGATAAGGTGGTGGTATGAGTCAGAGATGTTAGCCAGTGGCCAAAGGGGAGCTGTAGATGTCACTTTTGAAGCACTGGAATTAGGCAAGTCATAGGCAAGTACCTGTGTCATGTGACAAGTTAAGTACCTGGGTTAACCCAGGTTTTGGCATACTTATGGAGTGCTTTAATACCTTTGCTAAACAAATCTGTCTGGCACTTATTAATTCTACTTGTTAGGATTCAGATAAATGAAACCCAGCAAAAGTGGAAAAAATTGGAGATAATATCCTTTGCACTATAGTGAATGCATACATATATGGACATTGTTCCCCTGTTGCACTGAGCTTTGCTCCAGTGCTAGGTTATGATCCAATGGATCTAGCCAGTGCAGCTGAATATGTGAGAGAGTAGTCTGATAAGCACCTTCCATTGCTGATTGCTCTTCAGGTTTTAATCACACTCTTTGAGTGGAAGGATGAATGCTTCTAAGATCTCTCTGCAGATGCATTGGAAAACATTTCAGCTTACACTAAAAAAAAGTTTATTTCTCATTTTGAAAAACTTTCCTCTCATGAAAAGCATCATGACAGCTATGAAGCATTATGTGAAGTGATACATGGCTATGAAATCATGGATATTTTGGAAGCAAGTTGTGGGCTTGAGCAATAGATACATCTAAAATAGATGGTGAAAAAGTATAGTTTATCAATTCAATTAGATAACAGTACTTTGGGTTACCCAGAGATAAAAATTACAGCAGCTGATCAATATTTGATCAATACACTGCAGGCATTCATGAAGTCACTCTGAGAATTCTCAACATCGGAAAGAAGAAATAGAAGCTATACCAAGCTGATCATGTTGAAGAGATGGGAATAGACAGCACATCTTGAGTCCAAGAAATTAGGCACAGCAGCATGGACTTCACTTGGACCTAGTGGCTTGATGTATATGTGTTCACAGGAGGTTTGAGGACTCAAGCTGTTTTTCACAAATATCACAGTTCTTCCACTTGCTGTGACTGGGATGTGGGTTTGCTGTTATTCCACTGCTTCTGCTGGCATCTACAATATCACTATCAGGAATGCTGAGGTGCATTTTTTTTGTTTCTCTCTCCACCTTTTGAGGGCCTTTTCTTGGCCTTTTCTTGGGGTTCATGATGGGAAGCTATGAATATCAACCAAATATGGCTTAATAACATAGTCACAATCAAGAAGCATATGGCATTTCAGATTTCTTGAGGGTTCATTTACAGTGGAGAGAAGCTTGTTATTCAGGTATATTTAGGTGAAAGCAGAAAGAAGTATATGATATAGAGACTAGACTAAATTTACTCCACCAAAGTGTCCAATGACATCGATTGATGTGATGATGGCACTATGTGTGATCCATGCCAATGGATAGATGAAAGTTAGAATACTGAACATGGCTACAGTAATGTCAGAACAGAAAAGATACAGGAGAGGACTAGGACTCACTAGTGTGATCACACTGGCAAGTTAGTGAGATCATCATGTTGTTTCTCTTATGGAAAGGATGGATAAGCTGCAGACTGGAGAAACAATACATGTAATAGCAATCACCAGCTAGCACTCATAGAATGAATGGAGGGTACTAGACTTTGAAGGTATGCAACAGATATGAAACTGTAACTATGACAACATGGCTGTATGAAAGCAATGTTGTTTTTTCCTGTGCGGAGGTTGGATATACAGCTTCCACCAGTCATGGATCAGAGAAGCAATATGCATGATAATATATGCTAGTGCTGCAATAACAGTTCTATCAGTGAGCATCCATGGAAAGCCAATAGTGACTGATGACACACTACTATTCTTTATCATCAAGCAAGCTGTTGATCAGGTGGCAGTGGTTTCTCCTGGTTTGGAAACTCTGAGGGGATGTATGGAGTTAGGTATTATTTGTTGAACTTGTTGTGGATTCCTCAACCAGGTAGTAGCCTCAGCTTGTAGGTAGAGGATCCCTTCTTGGAGATTATCTTGAAGGGTCCAACACATTTGTTGTCTAGCTTTTTTGCCAGTTGCAGGAGGTGAAGGTTGGTTGAGTCCAACCAGACTTTATCACCTGGTTGGTACTCCTGCACAGGATAAGTGTGCTTGTCATAAGCCTTTCTCATAACTTTGGCAGCCTTGTGCAGAGACTCTTCTGCTATTTTATGGACCCTCTGAAGGCTTGTGACAAAGTCAGTTACCAATGGTGTTTCTGATGGCCTCACCATGGTTGGGCAAATTTTTCCATCTTGTCCAAAGACAATCTTGATGGGGGAAAAGCCCATTGCAGAGTGTTGGTGGTTGTTGTGAGTAAAGGCTGCCCATTGCAACCATTTGCTCCAATTGTCCTGTTTGTGGTTAACAAAGACTCAAAGATATTTTTTGAGTTCTTGGTTAACCTGCTCTATTTGTCCATCCATCTGTGCATGATAGGCCATTGACAGATTTCCTTGAATGTTCATTATTATGTATAACTTGGTGATGAATTTGAAGATGAATTGGGTTCCTGGTCAGAGATGATCTTGGAGGGGGTGACCCCAAATTGGCAGATGATTTCGTCATGTAGGATCTTGGTCCACCTGCTCAACGAAAGTTCCTTTATGCATGGAACCAGCATGATGTATTTTGAGAATTGGTCTATGATGATCAATACTGTGTTGTAGCCCTTGGATTCTGGAAATCTGGTGATCATGTTGACTGAAATGTGTTCTCATGGTCGAGATGATACAGCATTGGGATGTAGTAGAGCTGCCTTCCACTGCATGTCAGTCTTTGTCCTTTGACATGCCTCACATCCTTATATGTAGGTTTCCATGTCTCTTTGCAGCCTGGGCCACCAGTACTCTCTCAAGACTAATTCTTTGATCTTGTTGATATCTGAGTGCTCTGCAGAGACATGATCGTGGTAGTGGGAGATGAGTTCTCCTCATAGTGTGTGGTCGCAGGAGACATAGATATGTCCATCATAGAATAGTAGGTGGTCCCTTTCAGTGACCCCCTTCTTGTGGTTGAGGCTTATTGTGATCCCTCAGTCACACCGTTGGTGATCGCTTGTTGCTCTCCTGATCTTGCTGTGGATTTCCTCCTCTGTTGGCATTATCAGGGCTTGAAGTAATTCTGGTTTCAAGAGGACAATGTCATCATTGTCCTTCTTGCCCTGGTCATGGTCAGCTTGCTGACTCAAGAGGTCAGCCTTCTTGTTAGATGCTCCCAGCTTGTGATTGAGCATAAAGTGATACTCTGCTAGCTCAGTGACCCACCACACTTGTCTGTGGTTGAGTTTCTGAGGCTTGCAGAAGTATT